TTCAAATTTGTTTGCGCCCTAGGACTCTCCACAGACAATCAGGGCAATATGAAATCTAGTCCACAAACTGTTCAACTTATTGAATAGTTTCCAACAGAAAATTGGATTATAGGATGCGGAAATTATAACGGATGCGACACAAACTGTGGAAGTTCAGCGATATTGCCACCAGTCAATTGCCAGACATCATGCAACAACATCAATTGCAAACAGTTGAACGGAAACTTTGTGAAAGAGTCAGTTACAAAGAGCAGTTAAACTCAGAAAACAATTTCTAAATCTGATAAAGAATTAAGGATTAAGCTTTCGGCGTTGACCAATCCCTGGAGGATGCGCCATGCATTCGTCTTCAATTTCTAATTTCGTTTGAGGTGATTGAATGCATATCTGGCCTTCACAATGACTCGCGCGTGGCCTTCCGCTGAAACCGAGTCAGTGCTGGCCTATTACTCCCAGCCAAGTCTGAAAGCAGTCTGGTACCAATTTATCGACCCCCGAAGAATGGATAGCTTGGTGAGCCATGAGCGCGAGATCGAACCATTAACCTCGTGTGCGACGCAAGCACCTCTAACCACCGCACCATTTGTACTCTTTGAATCTGATATTGGAGCTAAATAGTTATGCATTTTCTCAAATTATTGAATTCTTGACTCAAGAAAGCTTTGATGTCTCCTCCCTCACTCCAGCAGCGATGTGCGATATTTTTTTCGTCCCAAACTGGCTTTCAATAATAAGATAAATGCGGTAGTGTAGAACGAAAGTTGTTTCATCATTTTAAGATACAAGTTTGAAGTTTTGGATTCAAATTTAAAACAGCACTGACTGCATTTTCTAGATTAATTATTTCTATGTATTAGACATACGTCTTCCGCTTCTTTTCGAGCTGATTTACATTAACACATTTATTTTTAGGCAATACTCAGCAGTTGGTTCAAATCAGTATATTCCGTGCATGAAATTGTGCTGTAATGCTGGGCAGATGAACACTGGCAACATGTGGCCATTGCTCAGCTCGTATATGGTGCCTGGATACAACAACAATAACGACTTTTACAACCACATACATGGCGAACATCAACTATCCCCTTGCTGGCAGTGCTGTAGGCCCCTCCACTTTCGATTACAATCCATACTATGTCGCCAGGAATTCTTCAAGCTCTGGTATGCATATTCGTTCATATTGACATTGGAATCAAAATCGAAATAAATCAAACAATTCACTGAATGATTGGATAAAGAATAAAGCTCTCGGCGCTGAGCAAATTCTAAGGGATACGCCACACATGCGACTCAACTAGGCATTGTTGATGTACATGTGGTCTTTATTATGGCCCGCTGTGGCTTACCGACACACTAAGCTGGTACTCATATCCCCGCAGGCAAGTCTGCTATAAATTTATTTCACTTTTGAGTGCTGGGAGGGATACACCTGAGACGCGTGGTTCAGCCAACAACCACGTGATCGCCGTAAGTCACCTTCCACCACTGCGCTACGCGCACTCTATAATATGGATAAATAAATTAGATTGCATGGCCGCATCCACATGCAATTTGCTATAAAGTGTCATATCCTAGATAAAAACACATGAATTTAACCGATTCACAGCATGTCTTCCCACTCACCTCATATTTGAGCATGAAAAAGATAGTGGAGAGAGCAGTGCGATGGCAATAGAACAGTTCTGAAAAAATGATTTTTACACATTGTCTACAAAGCCTTCAGGATGGTGCTGTCCAAAGAAGAAATGGTCTACTGCTCCGCCTCCATTATTGAATGTCAACGCTTTTCTGGCTCATCGATGAAGCCGCGAGGAATTTGGTGCGAAATTGCAATATTCGTACAGCTCAGTGCTGCTCAAGGCATTCCGTGAAGGAGAAGACCGACTGACTGACAAGCCACGAAGAAAGACATGCACGTTGTCATTTAATGCCTTCGCTAAGTTCAACTAAAAAAAAGGTGCTTGCTCCTGGAATCGCTAAAGGCAAATCTGTAACACGCTTCGATCATTGCTAGTAATGAAAGCCTCAGAACGCCTCAGCACAGCAAAAGCGTTCATTAGGATATCAGGAACAGTCTCAGCGATCATCATTTAGCAAATCCTCAAAAAGACAAAGTTTGTAAACAGCCAGGGAACCCCCGACAAAAAATGTATAACTTATAAGTAACGAGTGCGAAGCAACGGACTTTACGAAATGGTTCGATTGGCACAATAAGCTGAGCTAGATCAAATTTTGAAGAAAAAACTCAAGAGCGTGTGATATATTTGATTCTGTTTGTTTTGTTTTGAGCGATTTGTTTCACTATGTCAATATTCAGGTATCCAGTCCAGTTACCACATCGGGAAGAGTTCGTCGTGGTCTACCAAAGTCAGCTTTTCCAAGAACTCTCAGCGCAACACTCAAAAACAACACCTATGACCTGATTGATGACAAATAATTGTGTAGTGATAAAATTTACTGCACTCAGTTTTTTGATTGTTTGGAGAAGGACACAAAGTCATTGCACTCTACGACATTCAGCTCTTCGAACACACTTTGATTGATGCTGTCACTATAATGGTGTAGAGGTAACACTATGAAGAACTGACTATGGCAGTAGGTTTGTGTGTAGAGCATGGGAAGTGGATTAAGAAACCTCGACGTATGTGTCTATGAGGAAATATGTAATGTGAAAGCCGAAACGCCTTTAAGTAGGTCTAGGTGAAGCGCAAGATTTGAATGACTATAGAATGAAAAAAATGTTCACTTCTGTAGAATGCGCTGTGTTTGACTCTTTGAATCATCCTATGGATAACGGAATGCAAATTTGGCTTAAACAATGACTGTCAACACCTGATGAAATATCGAGCTAAAATTCCTTACAAGTGACTATTATGAGACCTTTCAAGAACATTATATTCTCACAATATATTCTGAGCCTTTCGTGAGGCTTGTTATGGACACTTATACATACAAAGCACATGTTTCGGCTTTACAGCGTCGTCAGTTGTTTTTATAACAGAGGAGTAGATTCCAGAGGTTCGACTGGACTAAAGGTACCGTGCAAGTCCAAAAAACCTCTTTAATACAATGTAGCATTGCAGAAAAGATATGTTTTACCGTCACCAAGCCATCCATCCCTCCGGGGTCGGTAAATTGGTACCAGGCAGGTCTCAGACTTGTCTGGGAGGATAAGCAGCACTGACTCGGTTCAGCGGGAGGCCACCGCGAGTCATTGTAAAAGCCAGATGTGCATTCAATCACCTCAAACGAAGTTAAAAATTGAAGTCGAATGCATGGCGCATCCCTCAGGGATTGATCAACGCCGAAAGCTTTATCCTTTATCCTTTTTACCGTCGGCGTGTATTATAGTCTGAATTAGTGCTTGGCTAATCACCAGAGTTTTAGCATGGGGCCGGTAGCTTAATTTTCAGTAATCTCGAAAATACATTTGGTTTTCTAGGAATATTTTCAAGGAACGCTGTAAGGGTGAATGAAGATTACGTTTTGATAGAATCACGTTCACGATCACGTTTTTTTCACGTTTTTACAGGATCGCATTCAAGATCACGTTTTTTTTTGATAGGTACAGAATCTTTTATTGATTGGAAAAGTCAGTCGATCATATTTGGCAATTTTGTAGGGACCTCTAACTCTTGGATTTGTTTCGTCAACGAATGTGATATGTAGGTACGTTTACTTAAACTATTCCACCTCAATACCGTAATATTTTAGTTAGAAGAAAAGAAAAGGTTAAGAAGTATGACTGATGCATTGGGGAACACGTGCTGCTCCGAAATGGATTAACGCGAGTTGACAGCTCATATGAGACTCCGAGTTTTGCTCGTATGTCAACATTCTTATAATTGTATTTCACATTGTATCCTACCGTGAATAAAGAATGAACACTGAAGAAAACTTTGAATAATGTGCTTCAATTTACGCAGTCAATCATTTTTCAGCAGTACTTTGTGCAAAACGTAGCTACAAGTGATAGCTTGAATTGCTTACTGCGTTCACATCAAATTATAGTTAATGTTAGAGGAGGTGTTCATAGTAACTGGTCAATTAATGTCTCCTTTTTTGTCCTTGCTTAGATAATTAGGTCCTTTCAAGCATTTTTTTCATACATACCTGGGAGAATTGAGTCAAACCTGAGTTTCATCCATACCGGGGACGCGTGTTACCACTACACTAACAAGGTACATTTGCGCCACCACTCATTCTTCAACATCTTCATGTTAGTTGTCATCCATCAACCTTCAACATTTTTCATCGGGTATGCGATTTTCCTCTATAAACCCAGTTCAGCCTACAGTCATTGTGATAAGAAATACTTGAAATTTTTATTGTTTTCACTGCATTTTTCGCAGTGCTATGATGTTTCATACATATCTAAGAGGAATGAGTGGTGAGGTTTTATTTTGATGGAAAACAGGGAAACACAGTAGCAAAAAGAAATTCTGACGAAAATGGTTTCATAAAGTGAGGACTTTCAAGTTGTTATACTCAATAATGGCGATTTTTTTTTGTTCCGAATCAACTAATATTGTTGAAATCAGCTTTGTGCTTATGTTCATAAAACTCGACACAGAGAAAAGTGGAAAAATCAAAAATGAGTGGACCTCATCGCTTATAAAGTAGCCATGGAACTATGTTCAACCAATTATGACAGTGGAAGCTTTCATTATTGTTTAGAACACGGAATATGGTCAACTGCAACTAGTTTTTGGCAAGAATACGAGTATACGGAGTAAAACTTTGCAATTTCATAACGATGTCGCGTCTCCGATTGCCACACTTCTTTCTTTGCACTGTTTCAAAGCGCATCTTTTTTGAAGCATTTATGATCAGTCGGCAATATAGACCTCATCATAAAATGTAGAACGTTTCCTATCTTTCCTCAATCCAATCCACCTGAACTCACTACACACCCGCGTTAACTTTCAGAACCAGATGTAGCTCAGCCCATTTTTGGTCATTTGTGAACTACTAAGAGGATTGAGTGGCGAGCAAAGATTTGATCTTAGAGGGAGTTGAACCCGTGCTTCAGCCATACCAAGGGCGCGTGCTACCGCTACACTACAGAGGCCACCGTCTAACCACCTACCACTCATTGTTTAGCATTTCTCTTTCATAACTATCAGGACCAACCTTTAACGGATTTGATCGGGTGAGCAGTATCGCTTTACAATCCCATTAAAGCTGGCAGCTAGTGTGATATATAGTGCACTAAAGATTTTTATTGTCTAACTATTTTTTCACAGTGTCATGCTCTATCACATGCACCTAAGGTAGTTGAGTGATTAGCAAAACTCAATAACTTAAATGTTTTTAATATAAAGTGATATTGCTTACCCAACTAAACCCTTCAAAAGTTGGTGGCTGATAGATATGACAAAGAGACATTGATGAATGAGTAGTGGGTAACCGGTGGCTTCGGTGATGTAGTGTAGCCCCGGTATGGGTGAAACGGTTGCTCAACTCCCGTGTTAGGTTAAATTTTTGCTGACCATGAAATTGTCTTGGGTGCGTTTGATACAGCATAACACTGAGAGAAAGCGGTGAAAACAATAGAAATTTCAAGTATTTGCGAGCCACGTTCAAAACTTTTCCACTTTATGATCTCGTTAAAACAAAGCTTTTATAACATTTACATTCTTCTTTGCTCGATGTGATCGTAGACAATGGATGGAACTGCCGTAATGTACTTTCTGAACAATTCTTTAGATTTCGCATTGTGCACTAACATTATGCTGTTCAACAGAACCTCACCTGCTTTAGAATTGATGCAATCAGTATATTAAAGCATCAAATTAATATACTTGATATTTATTTTTTGAGCTTTGCATGTGGTCTGTTACGGACAAGCATATGGAGCCCGATATGCGTGTTTTGGCCTTGATAGTCTCATCAGTCGGGCAGTAGCCTTCGCCTTTCAGCCAATCCTCTCTGTGGAACCCAACCTCTGTATAGAAGCGTTTGAGCTTTTGGCCAATTTGACTCGCAGAAATAGAGTTTTTCTAAGTTGACGCTGCACAAGCAAGGAGCTCATCCCTTAATCCACCTACGCTTCTGGAAAGCACACGGTTCTTTTAATTCTCGTTGAACTCTCTATCCACTACTTCGGGAGCGCCACGTTCACTCCCGATTGAATGGGCGGGATCCTTTGAAGATGGAGATTTGTAGAATAAAAAAAATGGACGCAATACAGTGCAGAATTAAATGAAGCTTCGAAAAATTTTTTCTGAAGTTTAACAAGATCAAACTGATTCGCAACTTCTCGGTCGACCACCTATGAAGGAGCTTCTCCGAAAACAGATTGCCGAGTAGCAGCAATGCAAACGAGCAATATGCAGTACTTAGACTCCTCAAAACCGCCTGTGGCTTTTCGAATGAGTCGTTTCGTAACAAAGGAGTAGTAGACTTTCTTTTTATATATGATCTATGAATAATTGTCAGAAATCGACAAAATCTATGAATCTAGGTGGTAAAAGTGACAGAGAGTACCCATGATAAGCAGTAAGGTAAACCAGGTTTCTTGGTCACTGAATGATGGCCACAACTACCTGCATGTGGTCACATCGAAGTTCTCGAGAGGTTGGTACTTGAAGAGAAGTACAGGAATGCCTTGAAAGCAACAGACTGAAAAGACCCTTGGAGTACGCAAACTTAGAAGGCAAAACCAGTGACAAAGGGTGGAGCGCCGAATTGTGAAGAATTAGTGGACATACTTAGAACTAATATTTATAGAATTATGAGAGAAAGTTTGTTTTATAACTTTATATAGATCTTAACTTTTGAAGTGCGCTGTTAATCTAAAAATCATTTCAAGTTATCAATGAACTGGTGCAACACGCATCATCATCGCTGAAAAACTATCTATATTCTAATTACAGTGTTTTGTGTTGAACTTCTTTGGATACAGATTAATTTTTGGGTATTATTGAATGAAAATTGCCAAAACTCAAGGCCTACATCATATTATGCTACATACAGCCTCTTATAATTGACTGATTGCCAAAGACACTGCCATTACGTAGCGAATCAGCGCTTTTCTTTACACTATAAGAGCGATACAAACTCCAAAAGCATATAGATGTGCAGAGTGAATTGTGTTGTATCGAAATAAGAAAAGAGATTCAGAAAATTTTTCTTTCTTAAGAGAACCCCAACCAAATAACGGAAATCGCTCATAGCTTCGCTTCGCGCTGCGCACAGCGATTTCTATTGTCGTCCAAAGCGGTTCAGACTTCTCGTAACTGCAAGCTCTGATCCTAACAATAATATTATCAGTGTAATCCAGGACACAAGTGCTAGTAGAATACCTTTATTATCAATGACATTTGAGAGACACAGAAAATCAAAGGAGCTCGGAAATGCTGAACTGTATCGCACTGTTGGTTTAGCTGTAGGACCAAATCCAAATGAGAATCACAATTCTTATTTTTCCTCAGAAAAAAAAACAAACCATTCAGCTTTATTTTTCAGTCAAAAAAGGCGACATTTCCCAATCCTATAGATATTTACAGCTTTTCTACATCCTGCAGCGATCTATTGTTAAGCTTTATTCCCTCTATTACGCATTAGTTGATATCATCAGAAGAACTCGCTATAAATATACTTGTTACACCTAGACGAATATCATGATTATAGAAAATGAGGAAAGCGATGTATTCGTTTGAACCTAAGAATTGGGTACTGTATGGAATTTGATGAATGTGACAGTAAAGACTAGTTGTGTTTCTAGTTACTTGATTGTAAACATTCGGTTGATTTCGTCAATGGTTTTTATACCGGGTATGCGCAAGCCTGACGCATCAGCAACAGGTAATCCATAGCCTGAATTCACCTGTGCCTCGAAGAAGCACAGAAAGTTCTTTCGTCGTGTTTAAACTCCTTATACAACACCATGAAACACATCTCGTAAGCTTCGCGAGCGGTCAGCCAAAAATCATTTGTAAGAGAAAGTCGTGTTTTACGTCATAGGCTATCAAAAACCCCTCGAATCAAATGTGTAGCGGCATACACAACAAAATGTATTCACCCTGATGTCGTAGTCGGAAAAGCAGCTCACTAATGATCATACCCATGCATACTGACTTATTTCTTATCCTGTTAACTTTGCGAAGAAATGGCCTAGTGGTAAGAGGGTTCGATCTAGATCCTGGAATCAAAAAATCTTTTCATTATTTCGGATTTGAAAATCAAAGAATTTCCTAAGAGGAATGGTATGCATGTCAACTGTACATTCAATCACCTTTAACGATGTTTGATGAGGTTGAAGGCATAGAACTTTTGTTAGAGATACGTCGACACCAAAAGATTTATCATTCTGCTTTTGTATTTCTTAGTGTAACAAGATCGATTACGACTGGTAACTAAGTAAGATACAAACATGTAAACAGGAAAATATGTTTTTCTCTTACGCGTTCACATCCGCATTGATGAGCTCATCGATATAATTTGCTGCTTGGTTGTTTCTTTACTTGAGGAGAGATCTTCACGTTCGGAACTACCTGTAAAAAAGCGTTTTGGCAGTGTGAACGATAACATATATACCTAACCGATAATCGCATACCCGGGCACGGCCAAGCCTGCTAAGGGTTGGTGGCTAACAGCTAACATAGAGATGTTGAAGAATGAGTGGTGGCGCAAATGTGCCCCTGTGGTGCAGTGCTAGCACGCGTCTCCGGTAAGGACTAGACGCGGGTTCGACTCCCTCCTGAGGCCGAGCTTTTGCTCACGACTCAAATCGCTTAGGTGTATATAAAACATCATAACACTGCGAAAAAAGCAGTAAAGATACTAAAATTGTTGAACGATGACGATTTGCAATTTGGGATTTATAGTTACATTTTTGATAGGAGCGATCGGGCCACTCACCATTGTAGTTTTGTATGCGACGTTTTCTTGCCGAAATGAGAGAAACGAAAGTAGAATAGAATAACAATGAGGCTGCAAATCACAAATTTCAGTATAAATCCTAATTAAGCAAGACCGTTGACCAATATACTACTTTTCTATGAGCAAAGTAACATAGAGAAGTAAGATTTCCTCATATATGAATTGACATCTTCATGTGCTTCGTTCGGAATTTGGACAAAAATCAAACACGTGGTACTGCATCAGTTATGTTTGAACTCCTCTACATTCCCAGCATTTTCTATTAGAGCTGCTGTGAATTCAACTTTACTTACTCTCTTATATTCCTGTGTACGGAATTGTAAGCAACTCTGTGCCTAGAAGGCTTTCAACATGCTCATGGTCCTCAGCTCCATTCCACACTCAAAGCTCCATAGTTCTCTCATACCTCAGGAAGACAAAAAATCGGCAGCATGCATACTCGAAGAATAGCAGCATTAACTTTACACATTGGGGGAGCATAGCAAGCCTTTGTACAAGTTAGATACGTGTTCATTCATCTTCGGACGTACTCATTATAATCAAGTGCATGCTGCATCTTTCAAGTGCTGATCAACGTCCGCAACTTTATCTCTTCATCCTAAAAGAGACATGCCACTGAAATGCTATAAGCCGAGTGGACAAATAGTTTTAAAAATCCTTGACTCTGATTTATTGCGTGAAAAGTCTTCGCTTCAAGTGCTGAAATAAGCGGAAGAGAGCTAACGCGCTTTTCCTATTGAGTCGAAGAACTCGAAGACAGATTATGAGGTTGCACTAACTTTGGTAGAATTTTCTGCTTCCATCTATACTCACGTTGCTCTATTTGACGCGTATCTCTTTCTCATGAAACCCAATTGTATCTAACCATACGGTAGAGTAAACGACATCAACAAAGCACTCACCCATCCAGTGAAAAGCTCAGCTGCCATAGAAATGTGCCAGTGAAGTAGACAGCCCAATGATTTTCAAAAAGTGGACGAATCCAGTTAGAGCTAACATGTTGAAAAAGAAATATACCGTCTGTGCTGAGTGCCTGTAGATAGAATATGCCAAAATTCGCTCAAGTGAATCTGCCAAAAATTACTGAAACACTCGATCCAATCTGTGTTAACTTGGGAGTTTTACCTGTTTAAAGAAACGGATTTCCATTTCTTGCCTCTTTTGGTAGGCGGAATCCGTGTAGATA